AATTTATGATTCTCGCAACACTATTGCAATAAATTAATAAAATTATGGCTTATGTACAATAATGTTATAAATTTTTATATTCACAGGGCAACATAACGTATAAGAATATAGTATAACATAGCATAGCAGTGCATAAAGTAACGTAACCCTAACCCTAAAGCCTAACCCGACCTAATGTAATACAACCTAACACAACAAAACACAACACTATCTAAACTAACTCAAACACACATCCTGGCTTCAATATCATTCAATTCAACTGCATTTCAGCTGGTTTCATGCTGCTAATTATAACAAATCCACACCATCCCAAACCAATTAAGTTCCTTATTAAAAAGTTAGCACTATGCAAATGTAAATGTGTTAGCAGCATGTTTGGTTGGTGAGCAGACGTGCAAATTGGTTGATTAATTAGCTACTTAAATGATTAATTAAATAACACGAGCATTCAAAGTTCATTTCACAATCGACGGCGTATAATGATGGCGAGGAGAGGTCGTGATCTTGTTTTTTATCCTCATCATCCTCATCATCGTCATCATCCTTACCAACGTCATCATTATCGTCGTCCTCACCAACGACACCCACCTCCTTCTTCTTCATTTTTTCCCTTGAAGTTTAGATCACAATCAAACGCATAATGTAAGTTATCGTTAGGAGCAAATAATCCACATCGTCACATACTAATGCAACCAAACAAACACACAACACACACTTTAATGCAGTCAAGCAATGATGCACAACAACATCCATACTGATGTAACCGAACATGCAACACGCACATTAATACTGTCAACCATCACAACAACATGCATCTAACTCGCATACAAACGATAATGCGAGTGAACTTTTGAACGGAAGCAACTTTTGATTAAATAACCAGGAAGAGGCAAATTATCATCATCATCATCGTTGTCTGCACCATCGTCATAATCTCCATCATCATCATCTTCATCATCATCATTAGTACATCGTTTGTTAAATGTATGGATGTTGATATTGTGTGTGTGTGTGTATGTGTCTGTGTGTGTATGTGTGTGTGTGTTTGAGTTTGCACACCTACAAATATTGCATATACACACGTGTATGCGTATATGTCAAATATGCAATATCTTGTCAGGTATTATGTATGTGTTTGTGTGTTTTCATAAAAAGTAGCTATTTGCTATTATAAACTATTTGCAATATAAAGTTATTTGTGTCAAAAAATGTGATTTGGTTATATATACATTTACATAAGTAAATAACAGATTGTATTATGTACATAAATCTGCTCAATAATGAGTTGGTTTCCTAGTGCACGAATTGAACATTTTTATGACAATTACATTTATGACATCACAGCTACATTCATGACATTATAGTTACATTTATGACATTACAATTACATTTATGACATTACAGTTACATGCTCAGTTGCAAATGTAATATATTTTGTTCTTTAATACATTAATTAATAATTTTATGCACCCGGAAAATATTATTACTACGTGTGAAGCATCGAAAAATAAATTGAATAATAAAACAATTGAAAGCATGTAGTTTGATAAACCACAATCTTTTAACCGGAACCATCTGACTAACTTCACTTATTGAAAACTTTAACATTCATAACTTTGTTGATTGGAGGTGATTGGTGGTACTAAAGGATGAATAAGAATGTGTTTCATAGAAGAATGTTGATCAAATATTTTTGTTTTAAAATTAATTTTAGCTTTAGAAAGTCTTCCCAAAATATTATTAGCAGAAACGATTAGACTAAATTATCATTGAAGTGCCTGATAAGAGCAATCGTTCATTCATGAACATTGTTGACCCGTCATATTTGTTTGTCTTCATTACTGATAGCTTGTTAAACGGTAAATAGTATAAACGCCACTAGAGCTAAGAGAGATATCATTTTGTTCTCTATTTAAATTTATTGGCGTTTGAGTTTAATAAACAACACAAATGATCACCCCAACTTTCGAAACATCTTTTATGCGTGCCATTCACACATTTGCATCTATCACATCGATATCCGATCCAAGAACAAAGTTCTAAGAAATGGCCCTCATAGGTTCCTCTGGGTCGAAAGTTTAATTCCTCTAAAAATATTCTTAAGCTGGTCGATTTTTTTAATGATCATGTGTAGTTAAAAGAACAAATGGAAAGTCTGGTCAAGTTAAAACAACAGTCAGCTTTGCGTAACGAGTATGTGGGATCAGATTTGGCACTGCAAATAAAAATTGCTTTGTCTGTAAAATTAAGTAAGAACGGATGCGATCTTGAAAACTGAAGACGAAACTATAAAAACAACAAATTGGGTTTTGTTTGAGCACGTTGAGGTAAACATGACTTATTAAAAAATTGCTTAATTGTATACTTTTCCTGAGTTTACGAAACATAACTTGACTAACAAGAAATTGAGGCAATTAACAATTATCAAATGTCAGTATGGACACATTAAATTGCAACAAACAGATCATGGTAATAAATTGTATGATTAAATGATTGTTCGTTATCTCTCTCACATGTATCTGTAAAAATTTTGAGATTTTAGTTTAACTTCGAATGAGGATATTACAAATTCATAAACAAGTCTCTGATTTGTGTCTTCATATTTTCAATCAGAGGCACGTTCTAAATTTTATCTCCGGTACATCATATTCGAAGAATCAATGCACTTACTCCGTGACTTATTGCAGATAATTTTTACGCAGATTTCACACTATATACAATACATATTTATATTTATTATGTTAAACAGGTATGTGTGTGTGTGTCTGTGTGTGTGCGTGTGTGCGTGTGTGTGTGGTGTGTTGTGTGTTAAATTGCTATGCGTGCGGTGGAGTATGAGATTGTGAGCCAGTAAAGTAGTGACGTGACATGATAATTTTAATTTTCATTGAAATTCTTTTTATTTTTTTAATTTAGCAGCAAGTCATGTTTTATCTGGCACTGAGATAATGTAGACAGCACATTATTTATCTAGATGATTAACACATCCAGGCTAGCGTATCCGGAAATTTGTAGATAATAAATAATAAATTCATAGATAATAGTTTCATAGCACTATCTGTTTGGCGTGTTTTTGTTCACATTTATGATTTTTGATACGTCGTGAACCGCATAGTTGCAAAATGACTACTTTTTCAATGGCAAAAGAAAATAATTCAAATGAATGTTGAATGTTTGGAGGTAGTACATCAAGTATGCGAAACGTTCGGTTTTGTTTGTTGTTTGCGTTGAAAAACAGCTTAAAATAGTTGTAGAGATGTCTGCTTTTGCCGATTTCAACAGAAAGTAATGACCTGATTTTGAAACGCCAAAAAAAAAGAATATAAGCTCGATGCAAAATGAACTATTGCAGGTTTCGCAATCAAAGTTAAATTATTAGATGTATGTGTGTGTGTGTATGTATGTGTGTGAAGTTTGTGAGTGTGTGCGTGTGTAGTGTATGTGCAAGTGTACGTGTGCGCGCGCGCGGGCAGAGCGGATCGAGAATTTTCCATTGTGGGAGATAATTTCCTAGATATATTTTACAAGAAGGTATTTTATATAATAAATTTCAGTATGAATTATTCATGTAATTTCTACACATTTGTGAGATGGTTGGTGATGTTACCACTTGCATGTAATTCAAAACATTTGAAAAAAATTCAAAATTTAAGAAACTCGTTTATTTATTTTTTTTAATACTATATGTATTTTTCCATTCCAAAACAACTTACAAATTATATTTTTGCTAATGAAATAAACCATAAATTATACATTTCAGGTGATTGTTCTACTGATGCTGATGAAGCAAATATTTTGCAGCCAATAAATGAAAATATGAACATTGATAAGTTGAGGCAACTTTTCGAAGAAAGTTCAAACAGTATCAACAGAGGGGCAGAAGCAGAAAAACTTCTCCAGACATCGTCGGATCAACGTTTTTACCAAGCAGACCCTCATAAGAAAAATACAACATGTACATCGGTAGATTCAAACTGCTTGAAGCTCCGACCTACAAATTTCCCACGATCCTACACAGATTTGGAAACTTTTTTCTTTTCCAACACCCATTCGGACAATGATCAAGATCATTTATATCTTTATCATCACAACCAGTTCAGTCCAAACTTCTACGACAAATATTACAAAAGTGCCGATTCAATTTACAGTGGCGATCCATTTTACCTCGCTTATTTGTCTAAAATTCAAGAAATGATGACAGAATCTTGGACTGTTTATTGGGATTTGCTATCGAAACATCTTCAAAACGAGTCCAATATTAGAAACTGCCAAGAAAGTCATCATGCCTCTGAAAGCCGGAGCAGTTCATCAAGTTGTAACGTGCAGATGGACCAGTCAGTTCATCCTGCTACACAATGTTCTAGAAGCGACAATTTGCAGGAGAAAGAAGAAACAGGACGAAACACGATTACTACATCAAACGTGAAGAAAGAAAGATGTTCGCCAGATTCCAGTGACGCTGTGTTGTCAAAAAAGTCAAAATATTTCAAATTTCATCGGTTGATTTTGCCAAAATATTCTACTGAAACCAGCAAACTAAGCGAGTTTCAATCGTGTGAAGATGTTAAAGACAGTTCAAGTAAATAATTCTATTTTATTTTAAACGCATAATGTGTTATGCATTATGCTTATGTGCAAATTTAATTTAATTTTCAAATAAAAAAGTCAATTAATTAAAAGGCTAGCTTGAAATGTATCTATGCTATGGTGAGAAACACACACACCCACACTCATTTTCACTATCTACGAACATTAAGAGACGATAAAAACTTTTTTAATATGCAAACACAGCAAGATCTCTCTGTCAAATTTTGTCAAAGTATTCAATCTTTTTCTCACGAACGTGCAATGAAGGCTTCTTTCAACCAATTTTATAAATTTTTAATCAGCTAATATGATAAATGGAAAAATACATTATGTAGTTAAATAAAAAAGCTTTTTTTCAACTAGAACATGAAGCCTTTTACAACAAATTTCAAAAGTCGTCTAACAACCCAAAATATTTGTGGGAGTTCTTGTTGCTCCTGCTTCACGACGAGGAGTACTCGCCTAAGTACATTAGATGGATCGATAGGGAAAACGGAATTTTCAAACTGGTCGACTCAAAAAGGGTTTCGAAACTTTGGGGCATGCTGAAGAACAAACCAGGAATGAATTATGAAACCATGGGAAGAGCTCTCAGGTGAATTATATCGATTTGAATCTTTCACAAATATTTTGTTTTTTATTCTTTGATTGGCTGCGTTCTATTTTATTGATTTTATTATAAACGTAAGAGTTTGTCAATCAACAAAAGCACACAGTTAACTAATATTTTAGCGTTCGATTTGAAAAAATAAATAAAAAAAAATTGACATTGAAATACATTTAAATGCAGAAATGACAGCAGCTTGAAAACACATTAAACACATTTTCATTGTTTTTTACTCTTTGCTATTAATTAATTATCTATATAATAAAAATTAATATTTGTATATTTTTTAATCATATATTTCCTGCACGTCCTACATCCACACGAAACAACTGACGCATCTTGAATTGAGATGACCAATAATAACTCGTAACTATTGATGTTATTTGACATCAAATGTTTTAGGTGCCTTTCAAAGTTAGATAAAACTGCACCTAAAGTAAACGATGCATTCGTTAGTTTCGTAGAGAAATTTATTAAATTCTCAAAAACCCGTTACTTTTGAGAATTTAATGTAACATGACGTCGTGATAATTAATTTTCATTGATTTTCTTTATTTATAAGCTGGTATCTTGGGCTAATAAAATAATAGAATCGCATTAGAAATGTTTTTGTTCAAAATACTATTGTTTAAAATTCAGTGATAATTTGTTTCAGGTATTATTATGCCAGAGGGATCCTACGCAAAGTGGATGGCCAACGACTCGTGTACCAATTCGCCCAACTACCAGCACTAAGTGCCATGTAATTAATGTAACGCACCGTCGTCGGGACATCACATATATTTTTCGATTATTTTATTTTGTTTCACTGTAACTGTATAAATTTTTTTTTAACTTACTCATTTGAAATCATGAAATGAAGCAAGTGCCTTTCAATTTTGAATACCGACTGTCTCGGAATTTGAATTTTTCTATTCTATTTTGCATATATATATATATATATATATATATATATATATATATATATATATATATATATATATGTTGGTAATAGACCATAATTTTTACAATATTCTATAAATTCTACCGAATGTTTGGCGTTAATATGTTTGTAGTTCGTTTTTTCGATTTTTCTCACTAAAGTTTTTTGGTGAACGTTTAGTTTATTAAAATTCAAAATAAACTTATTTTTCGAATTCATGCTGCAAATAAGGCCATATTTCGATTCCGAATGAATCATCGTCAGTGCTCCTTGTTGTATATATGGGGAAATATTGACTTTGTCAAGATTAACTTTGACGTTGTAAAAATTAACTTTGGTGTTGTAAAATTGAACTTTGATGCGAATTAGGTGTCAGGTTTCTTAATTGGCTGGTCATCTTCTTTGGTCTCCTTTTCTTCATCGATAGCATCATA